AAAATCAAAGATAGAGAATGAAGAGAAGATTGTACAATTTATTATTGTAAATGAGAAGACATTTGTCAAATACTCAAAGGACAATATAATAGTGAATAAGAGGGAGGCTGGAGATGGTGATGATAAATTAATAAAACACAGAGCCCAGCTGGGTCAGACAGATAGCTCCTATCAGGTAGTATTTGGCGTTCATCAGTATCAATAGCGTGTCCTGGAAGAAACCAGTCTTCGAGAACTTCGCTTTGACAGTGATACCACCATCACCACTACCATAGGTAGTACTTGTCATAGGCTTCCTTTATGAAGCCTTTCATGGGTAATATTGACAATGGTGACTTTTCAGCTTAATTTCTGTGTAATGAGATGTGATTTTTAAAAATATGTCTATCAGACCAGCAGATAGTGTAATTGTTACATTGCTGGACTCCCATGTAGGCTACCACAGTTCAAGTTCTGGACCCAGTGGCTTAAAAATCATGCTAAGTGTGCATTCCCAAGATACCCAGAGGAGAATGAAGGAAAAAGGATTATGGCGTGGCCATCTCTGCTCTCTAGGGGGTGATTTCTTGCTTTCTGTCTCTCTCTCTGAAAAAAAAAAAAGTCTAGATGGCGTTCTGATATGGATTTTAAAATGTGTTAATTTACTAAAAGCCAAAATATATACTATTAAAGTACAACTTACACTGAAACAATATCCTCTCCCACCCAGAACACTCAACTCTGTAATATAGTTTTTCTTTCTTTCTGAATGTTAGCCAAACATCAAATAGTGTTTGAAATGGTGACACTAAGTTTGTGTTCTGTGAATTCTCTATATTTTGAGTTTACATAGGATTAACTTAAACCTTCATTTTAATCAGTGTAAAAATAAGGACCAATCCCTCTCTTGTCTCTGAAAGCAGGAAGAGTAAATGAGACATGACAGTTTTGTAAGCCTTCCACATACGTATATAAATCTAAGGTACAGCTGAGCCTGACTGTGCAGCCTATCTTGTACAGTGCTAACACACATAAGTCCGTGCTCGGTGCCAGGACCCTCCCAACTCCTCCTCTCACAGAGTATTGCCAAGATATAAAGCTCTTCTTATATGTGTAGAGAGAAGGGTTTGTTCTTCAGCACGCACTGCACTGGCACTGAAGAGTTCTACCAACCTCCTACCACAGCATGGGACTTGGTGCGTAATCACAGGTCCCATTGGAATTAACTTGAGGCCAGTGGCTAGAATATAGTGTAGCTAGGACTTGAGGTCCTCATTCCTGGCTTTCCTTTCAAGCACTCAGCTGAACTTTTGAATAGCAGCTTCCTATGAAGCTCTGAAAACTGCCCAGAAAATCGCTCAGCCATGCAGATCTGCTGGCAGGCATAGCAACAGGCATATGGTCAGTTTGAATGGTATTGGGAACCCTCCAATAGGCTTTAGAACTTCAAAGAGATGGTTGGTTTCATTATCATTATATCAGCCAATCATCCAGGAGAAGCCCAACCGAATCAGGCATGATGTCTGGCAATTTGAGCAGTGAAAAGAGATAAGACAGTGCTCTAGCCCCCAAGGATAGAGATTAAATATGCCAAAAACACCTAACGAACTACCTATTATAGTCCTAAACAACTATCATGGTGGTAATGATCGTTGTTTGTAAAAATCTAAGAAAGGGGGAAGCATGTGCTAGAACAGGCAGGGGTGGCATCGCAGAGAAGATAGGGTGGGAACTGAATCTCAAAGGCTGGACTGATTTTGGATAAGTGTAAAAGAGTTGAGGAGTAGAAATCTGAACAAAATTGCTTTCTGAGACTGTTTAAAAAAGGGGAGACAAGAGGAATAATAATGTTGGCAAGATTGTGTAGGAAAATTGTTCGGTTATACATTTAACAGTATGCAGATGAAAAGGTGATGTATAAAACTGAACATTTCCATGCTCTTAGCACTTACCTTTCCACTGGGGAGGTAGCTAATAAATAGGTAAGCCAATTGCTTATTACAATTAAATAAGTGATGACCAAATGCATAGTGTAATGAAGGAAATTTCCTGCTGCAGGAAGTGCAGAAGCCTAGATAGTGACCCTGGGAATGGTCATACTAGAAAGAGTCACTTAAATTGAAAACTGACAGATGAGAAGGACCCAATATTCCAGGTTAGGACAAGACACAAGAAGGCCCTAAGAAAGGAAACATTTGACATATTTAATATACTAAAAAGAATCCAGGGAGGTTGGTTACATAGAGTCTTAGTGATGATTTTTTAAACTTGTTTCTTATCATGGGGTATGTAGGATTCTCAACATAGTGAAATTGGAGTTCTCAAATAATGGGTACTAAGAATAAAATGTTTGTGAAGGATGACTCCTACATGTCACCACAACAATGCAATAGGCGAGTAGGAGAAATCAAGACAGTAAACACTGTGGTCATCGTTGAGAATTTGAAAGTGACAGTGGCCCAAAGGTCTTGGTATAAGTAGCAGGGATGCATTGCAGTGGCTGAAGCATGTGAGAAGTCTGGGTTCAGTTTTCTGGCCCAATTAAATAGGCAAGGCATAGTAGTCCATACCTGAGGCCTTCGCTAACTAGAAGGCTGGAGCTAGAAGATCACAAAGTGGTGAAACCTGACAAAACATCTCTCTCACTCTCTCCTTCTCTTTATCCTTTTCACTCTCTCCCTCACCCTCACTCTCATAATATTAAAAAATGAATAAATAAATGGAGAAAAATGTTTCAATATACTTTTGTTTTAAAAAATTAGGCATTTTAAATTATTAATAAGAGTTAGTACACTTGATGGAATACATATATAAATTATGATCTGTTAGTAATATAGAAAAGATATTGATAAAGCAAAAAAATAGTTTAAGTCCAAATTATAACGAGCATTTTCCATATAGTAAGAGATCCTGGCCCTAGTGATACATTAATTCTTAGGATAAGATGTTAGACAATGAGCATAATGTTTGTCTTGTCCCTTATTCTAGTATTCTGGGACATGAAAATAGAAGTAGTATCTTAAAGCACAGTCAAGTTTAGACTAGAAAATATCTAAAGCAGTTTAGGCTACTGGTATCTTAATCAGCTGGCCTTAGTGATTCACATGTAACATTTTAAAAATTATATGTGTACACCTATGTGTGTATGTGTGTGTATAAACTCACTTGACCCATCTAAACCTTAGATGCAAACAAGTTCAAGGACCTTACTAGGACATATTTGCTCCACTCAGCCACAGAAGCAGAGATCTGAGTAATCTGGAATTGCATGAACAATTTATGTCTAGAAAAGATTTTTAAAATCAAAAAGTGAAAATAATTATATTATCCCTGTTTTAGAAGAGTCAATCCGGGGCCTTATGCTACATGCCGATACTCTCCAAGTCATTGTGTATATGTACTAGAAACCGTAAAGGCGGATTCTTAAATTGTCCAGTGGACTGTTGTCCTTTTGTTTATAATGTCAACTTTTACAGATTGGGAAACTAGATGATAATACTAGACTTTATATTTTACTTTTATGCAAAACCTTGAAAACTTTCATAAATTTCAAACTCTTACTGTCCTTGAGATATCACAAAATGCAGCCCAACAGAAAAAGCATCTTTTACCCCATGTTCTGTGCTGGCCAGACATTTAGTTCTATTTAAAAACCCATTTATGTGTATAAAAAAATGAGCTCTCTGGCCATGCTGAGAATGCAGGCACGCTGGTACAAGACTGAAGAGATTGATGTTCTGCCAACTTGGAGCTTATTCAAAATCACAGTGAGGCAATCCGTGCTTGCCTGGTTCATTATCTGTAATTTGACTATCCATATCTCTTTAGCAATATTGAATAATGTATATTTATTGTATATGTATACACATAGGAAGATGAAATATAATCTTATTTCAAGGTGCTTTAAAACTTGTAGTATCTTTTGTTTTGTTTTTAGTTTGCTCTAGGACGCACACATTTGCCAGAGAGAGACAGAAAGAGGAGAGATGTAGAGAAAGGGAAAGCAAGAAATTACCTCTCAGGGGGAGATAACCACATTGCATATCTCTTCTCCATTCTCCTCTTGGGACTTTGGGCACACATGCACACACGCCCACTTTGAATTTTCAAGCTGCCAAGTCCAGGACTTGAACCATGCAATAATCCATGTAGGATTCAGCTGCCTTAACCTTCACGTCATCTGCTGGCCCCAAACTTGTAGTTTTAAAGAAACACTTAAAGTTACATACACCATTTTTACTTTACTAAATATGGTGTATCTTAATTATGAACACATTAATTCATTCCATTGTGTCAAATAATATTCTCAATGTAAATAAATATAAATGTGTTGAAGATACTCTTTGGGATATAGGGTTGAGTTGTTTGGAGCTCTTTTTTTTAATTTAAGTGACACTGATGCATGGTCGTGGGATTAATATCCATATTTCTGGTGATGTTATTTGGGAAAAGTTAGCATTTATTCTCCCTTAACATTTTACTGGCATCTTCAAAGTGTTATAAAACAAGCATTTACTACTGAGTAGCTAAGCATTTCTCCCTCTTTGTTTCTTTAATTAACGTATCGATCTAAACCAAATCTATAGGATCAAGCTTATTGAGACAGACTGCCTGTTCTTCTCTCCAGAGATTACTGTTGCACTCCACACTTTCTCAGTAAATAAAATATGGGCAAAACTGTAACATGTGGGGGCTGAAGATTCCATTAAGGACTTTTGGCAACAGTACCTTAAAGATATTTTAGAAATGATTGTGCTTTATCTGATCTTCTGTGCCACTGCATATAAGGAAGGATTTTAAAAGACCAAATACAGCTCTCTGATTTCCATTTAATGGGAGAAGTAATAAAGTTTAATTGTATACTTGAGCACAGGGCGTCATTTCCAGTACATCTGATCAATAATTCATCTATTGCCTTTGGCTCAATGTAATATTTGAAAGAAAATGTACCAGTAGGAGCTTATTTAGCTGTAGTTCCATCATCTCTATTAATTATGCTTTTCCCGAATTTGGATCATTAGGCTACCAAAGTGACAGCAGATGGCGAGCAAACCGGACAGGATGCTGAGAGGACCAACACAAGAGCAAAGTCCTTGGGAGAATTCATTAAGGAGCTCGCCCGGGATGCAGAAGGTAGTAGAAAACACTCATTCTCACAATTATTTCTCCTTCAAAAGGGATTACACAAGTCTGGAATTTCTCTTGGAAGAGATGACATTTGTAACTCCAGTGGTTGTGTTTTAAAAAGTATTTTGGTTAAGATACTCCAGGGCATTATTCGCTGAGAATCTACAACGTCCAGTGGTGTGTTTGTGCCAACAGTCAGTGAATTAGTGATTATGAGTGCAGAATAGCAGTAAATTCTTAAAGAATGTCTTTTATGATTAGCTAATAGACAGCTTATCCTTTGTTATTGTTTGTATATTCACAACTAAAAGATTTTTTATTTAATTTTAATTTATTTTTATTTATTTATTTTAAAGAGGTTTTTGCTATAGGGTGTGTGCACTCACCAGAAAGACAGAGAGACAGAGAGACAGAAAGCAAGAAATCACTCCCAGTGGGGACGACCACGCCACAATCCCTTCTTCTCTCTTCTCCTCTCCAGATCCTGAGCACGCACACACACATGCCTGGCGTGAGTTTAAGCCACCAGGTTCAGGACTCAAACCGTGTCAACCACATGGGAGTCCAGTGACACAGCCATTACACCAGCTGCTGGTCCCAATCTTCGTTTATTTTTTTAAAAAGATAATGTCAGGGCCAGCAGTTGGCATGGTGATTAAGTACGCTGGACTCCTGCATGGCCGTTCATGCTTCAAGTTCTGGACCTGGTAGCTTGCTTTCTCGTTTTCTCTCTCTCTGTCTTTGTCTCTGTATCTCGCTGGTCAAATTAAAATAATAATGATGATGATGAATAAAATTAAACAAAATAATTTTTAATAAAAAAATAGAAAGGTAGTGTTACCATTTCACTTGGTACATTAAAATAGCACTTTAATTTCTCAAGATGGCTTTTCAGATACTTGGTACTGGTTTTTAATAAACGTCTGTTGCTTGGGACTTGGACATGCTCCTTTTTCAGCAGCTCTGCTGCATTTAGTCTCCAGTTCTCCAGGAACTCATTCTTGGCTTCTACCAAGTGCTTGAGAATCAAAGTGGAAGCCATTTTGGGCAAAAGCCCAGATTAAGAAGCTCTTAAAGAAAACAAATAATGCTTCCCCCCTACCAAATAGTTCTTAAATATTTATTAACATATATAAATAGGCATTCATGTTTAGAAAATAAGGAAAAGTGAGAGGCTTTTTGCTTAAAACAATAAAACATTGGGCCAGTAGATGGTGTGGCGGTGAAGTCACTGGATCCCACATGGCCTGTGGCTTAAAAATCACGCTTGGTGCGTGTGCATGTGTGCCCAGGAGGAGGATTGCTTGCGATGTGGTCATTACCCTGGGATAGTCATTTTCCATTTTCCCTCTCTCTCTTGCTGTCTAGAGAGTGGATGTACCCTATAGCAAAACAAAAAAAAAAAAAGTAAAAATTTCTATTCCTTTGCAATGTTACACATTTTAGATATTTCGCTTTATGGTATAGTCAGATTAATCAGAATGTGAGATAACTTTCAAGGCAGTCCCTCATCGTAATTCTTAGGCATTGCTGGCTTAGAAGAGATAAAAACTCCCCAAAGATTCCGCACTGAAAGGAACAACTGAGCATTTAATCTGGGGCCTAATCTGATGTAAAATAGGTCAGGATCTAGAACAGAAGTTGCTCCTTCTAGGAAGATCTGCGTGAAATTGTACATCCCCTAGTATTATTTTCCATTAACACTATTTAAAAGTACACCACAACCTTCACAAAAAAACATGACCACCAACAAAAAGTCTTGCTGCAAGAAAGGCATTTTCATTCTGTGAGGCTCCCTGAAAGCACCACTCAATCCAGCAACTCTCCCTTTCCTTCCACCTGAAGTCTCAAACTCTCAATACCTGGTATCTTATCCTGGCACTCGCTTTTAAATCATCTTAATCAAATATTGGTACATGAAACTAAATGCTAAAATTAGGAACCTGCAAAATTTGTGTAGAAAAATGAAATTAAAGGGTAAGTATGTTTTGATGCAAAAAGTGTTTTTTTAACTCCAGTTAAGAACTTTTGAAGACTCCTGTACATGTTTTAATAGACCCTACTATCAGCACTGTTTATTTATTTATTTAAGAAAGATTTTTGCTGTAGGTCATGTGTACTCGCTGAGAGAGAGACAGAAAATGAGAAATCACCCCCCATGGGGTATAGCCATGCTGCACTCCCTTCTCCTCCATTCTCCTCTCAAGATTTTAGGCACACACAAACACACTCATGCAGTGTGAGTTTTAAGCCACCAGATCCAGGACCTGAACCACAATCGACTATGTGGAAGTCCAGCAATGTTACCATTACACCATTTGCTGATCCCCAGCACTGTTTATTTTCTTCCCTACATTGAGCCTTCCCTCTCCTACCACAGAGACACATATTTCAGCCCACTCCTTTGATCATACAGATTTTATTTTTTCTGGATTCCCAAGTTCTCTGGGATGTTACACAGTTTGTGCACCACACAAAGGCACAAGCAAGGGGCAGAGTGGAGGCAACATTTAACCCAGTTACTGCTTCTCATTCACAATCCTTGGTCCATCCACCAGAGGAAAGGGCTTCCTATCACCACAGGCATCTTTCATTCCCTAAAATGGTGGCCTATATCTGTGTGGATAGGGCACTTTTTTCTAATCCATAAGAAGTGTCATATGGAATATGAGAAAGATAGGAGCATGACTCAGTTCTGCCAGCAGACGTTACTTGGCAGAATTAATCCAACTGTTAAAATTTAATGAAAGTTTAAATTTAAATATGCTAGTGCTACACAAACTCTTCCCTACCATGTACTATAACACTTGGCAGTTTAAGGAAGAAGGATGAGGTGGAAAGAGAGTGAAGAAGGAAGGAGAGAAGGGAAAGGAAGAAGGGAAGGGAAGGGAAGGGAAGGGAAGGGAAGGGAAGGGAAGGGAAGGGAAGGGAAGGGAAGCGAAGGGAAGGGCAGGGCAGGGCAGGGCAGGGCAGGGCTAGAAAGACAGAGGTAGGAAGATGGAGGAAGAGGAAGGGGAACAAAGACTCAGCAAATGCTTTAAGTAGGTTACACAACATATCTGCACCTTTTATTTTTTTCTCTCAAAACTACAATAATGATGAGATAATCATCAGCACTTACAATAATGATGAGATAATCATCAGCACTTTTACATTTTATTAGTTGGAAATAAATTGTTGTAGAAAAAGTAAATGCTTCAGCCTGACATTTGTCTGCTTCAGATTTGTATTTAGAGAGGTAGAACCTTCATTCTGTCTTCCATTGTAAGTCATGCCACCTTATAGACAGCTTCTATTCATCCAAGGCATTCTTATCTCACTGTAATTTTGTAGTAACAACTGTACTTTGACTCCTCATCAGATCACAAATAAACTACGTTTTATTCCATGCATTATTAGAATTAATGAATAGACATAGATAAACCTATTAGTGTTTAAATGTCCTGACATACAATAGGACTTAATAAATGCTAGACACCCTTCTTTCCTATTTGTCAGGTCAGAAGAACATTTTTTATTTATGATAAATTGAGTATGAAAAGCAGCTTTGCTTCTCTGAGGGAATTAACGTATTTTTATTTTACAGATTCTGTATGCCTATTAAGAATCCCTTTTATTCCCCAAAATGCATTGGCTACAAAGACGCTGAAAGATAACTTTAGGATTCACTGCACTGAACATAATGGCATGAGTTTCTTTCTTTCATACTCAATATTTTATGGCAGAGGGTGCACATAACATGAGAGAGAAAGTAACCCTCAACAGGTTTGGTGATACCTCAAACTATTTTTTCTCCTATTCTCCATCCTGTTAGGGTCCTAGGCCAGTGCACATGCCTAATGGATTTTTCCAAGCCAACAAGACTGGGACTCAAACACTGGTCAACCATGTGGAATCTAGCTTCCTCTCTGGAGTGCCAAATTGCTGCACTATGGGGCTGGCCCTTGCACTCAATATTTTTAAATTTACTCAGTAGGACTATTTTCACAATGCATATTTTATGTTTGCATCTTCCAGGTGTTACGTTACATGTTTCATTTTTTACCTCTCATCTGGAGAGTGTTCAATACACTTCTTTATTTGTTTTTGTTTTTTTTACTTCTCTACTTATTTTTACTTCCTTCTGAGGTTACATACACCATGCTTTAATTACTGTGTCTCCCTCCAGAAGAAATATAATATAGAGCAGCAAATTACATTTCCTTGTTCCTTCCCGATTGTTATATCAACTGCCTCTTTGTTTCCCAGCAGGATCACTCACGACAAACTACACTTCTTTTAGAGACGGTGGTGAAGAGCAGATGTGGAATGCCATTTTTGCATGTAGTATTTTTGTTTACTAATTTACAAAATTTGTTTTACCCCCTGCAGCTGTAAATGAGAAAGCGGTAAAATTAAATGAAACTCTGGGAACGCAAGACAAGACCCTTGAGGAAAATTTGCAAGAGTTTCAGAAAGAGATTGATCAGATGATGAAAGAACTGAGGAGGAAAAATCTAGATATGCAAAAGGAAGTTGCTGAAGATGAGTTGGTGTGAGTAACTGACCCATTATTTTTTATTTGATAAATTGAGCTTTCCAAATTATTTACAGTTTTCTAAATTTTCATCAGACATATGAGAAGATACTTTGTTTTTCTGACCAATACATGATTGCTACTTATCTATATTTTACTTGTTTATTCATACTTTATCTTGGTCTAAAATGAATCAGAAGCATGCTCTTGCTTATATTTAAATAATCAAAGAAATGATCTTTTCTGGTACTGTCCCTTCTATTATTGGGCTAATGAGCCTGCTTTGTTAATGATCTATATTAGAGACTTCTAAACTATCAACAGATTTTTGTTTTAATAAAAATAACTTTGCATGAATAGAGTTACAGACTTTACTGGACCATCCTACACATTTTGCCTCTAGAGAAATGCTGAAGAATTATTAGATAATAAACAACTAATACTTTAAAATAAGGAATGGGAATTTAAGATCAGGTAAAGTGATAGTGATTTTACTAATGCTAATAAACTTTTATGATCACATACTCAATAAAATAGGTACATTAAACATGTAGTCAGCTACCTTCAAAGTGATGGTGTTACTAGTACTTGAACATATATTAAATACATACTAAACTTAGGTTGGGGCCCAGCAGCTGTGTCTTAACAAGCCCTTCAAGGAATTATGATGCATATTCATCTGAGGACTACTGATTTTCAAGTATTAGCCTTTCTTAATAGCTCAGATATTATTGCTTTAGGAAAACTAGGTAAAATAAACACAAGAAACTCCCAGAAAATGCAGTTAGAAGAAGAAAAGTAGATGAAAATTATAATATTATCAGGCTGACCCTGTAGCTTAGTGAGTTAGGGAATCAGATCCTACATAGCCAATGATAGTTTGAATCCCAGCATTGGTGGCTTGAAAAACAAGCCAGATGGGACCAGCAGGTAGTATGATGGTTAAAGTTCTGGATCCTACATGGCTGACTCCTCAATTCCAGTTCTCAACTGGAAGTCAGAAGAACATGCTAGGCACAAGTGTGTACCCCAAATCCTGAGGAGATTGGAAGAGAAGAGATTGTGGCATGGTCATACCCCTGTGAGTGGTGGTAGGGGGGGAGTTATCTCTTACTTTCCCTCTCTCTCTGTCTCTCTGTTAAGCACACACACCCCAGGACAAAAACCTAAAACAAAGAAAAAGAGAAACATACCAGGCACATGAGTATGCATACCCAAAATCCTGACAGGATGAAGAGATGGAGGAGAAGAGATTGCAGAGTGACCACACCCCATTGGGAGGTGCTCTCTCTCTCTCTTTTTCTCTCTATTTCTTTATCTTTCTCTTATAAGCACAATGCACTCTCTGGCAGTTAAAATAAATAAAGATATTATACAAGCATGGCAATAACATACAGTTCTGTTCACAGTTTCTAAACAAACCTATCAATATTCATTCTTTTCATTCAAAATAATAGAGAAAATGTTTCATTGTGGTGAAACAGGTAGCTTGTTTTTCTTTAGGTATGTGAAGTGAATAAAAAACTAATTTCATCAGTCATATTATGAGAATAACATGAGATTCTTTCCAATTGAAAGTGTGATCTTACTAATCAATTTAAAGGTTTTAATTTTGGCTGTAATTTTAATTATAGTCGTACTACTTTTGGGTACTAGTTTTCAACTAGATCTTGTACATAGTGTACATGTTTTCCATGTTTTCTTACATTTTCATTATTTTTATATTAGCAGTTCTTTGTAACACAGTTTAATACCAATAAGCCTTGAGGCGGTGACACAAAGGCTTATTGTCTGTCATTGCTTGGGGGTGGTTGTAGAGCTGCCGAAGGTCTTCTGATGAAAGTGAAGAAACTATTTGGAGAACCCAGGGAGAAAAATGAAGAAAGGGAGAAGGATCTCCAGGAGAAACTGAATGACTATAAGGACAAACTTGATGATGCTTGGGACCTCTTGAGAGAAGCCACAGATAAAATTCGAGAAGCTAATCGTTTATCTGCACAAAATGAGAAAAATATGACTGCTTTGGAGGTGAGTCTTAGGGATATCTTCATCATAATCTTTGAGGGAGAGGCATTGAACACAGCTAGACCAGTTAAACAAATGCACATTTACAAAGATCAAGAATAACAACTCCAGGGACCAGCAGGTGGCGTTGTGGTTAAGGTGCTGGACACTCCCACATGGCCGACCACGGTTCGAGTCCCAGACCTGGCAGCTTCCTTTCTCCCTTTCTCTCTCTCTCTCTGTCTCTCTCTGGTCAAATTAAAATAAATGAACAAATAAATAAAATTAAATAAATAATAATAATAATAAAAAGAATAACAACTCTGAAAAGAGAGTTCTAAAAAGCAGAACAAGAAATAATTATCTCTTTTTTGTCCTTAATAACCACTTCCTATAGAATCAAATAAAATTTAGATTACTCAAACTATTAAAGATTTCTAAGGACCATGTGGTACAGTGGAAGAAGCTCTTCAGTGGGAGTCGGGAGACCTTGGTCTTAATAACTGTGCTACAACAGGAAGTCAACTAATGTCTCTAACTGTTGGTGTCCCACATATAAACTGAGTAACATACTAAAGTGTGTCTAGGGAGTCTTCAAATACTAATATCATATGACTTTAGCACTTACCCAACCTAGTCTAGAAAACATAGTTCAGAAATGTAGCTTTCAAAATTCATAGAAATAGGGACCAGCATGAATCAATCAAGTCTGGTTATTCCCCCTTCTTTGTCTCACAGACAAGAAAGAGATACTGCTTTCCTCAAGAAATTGTGGACAGCCTCTATCTTTGTTAGAGTGCCGACGTATCTAGAACTAAAACAGAGTTCCACCATCACCTTTTCTTTTTTTTTTTTTTTCACTTTCTTTGTTAATCTTAGCATGGTAAATGTTCATTTTTCATAAGAATAAGTTCAGCATGCACAATGGTACTAATTTATATTTTCACTTAAACTACATCACTAACTTCACCTCAGAGACAAACCAACCTTCACTGTATTCAAAGTGTCTGACCTTCACAGACATAAAAATAGCAGCAGACCTAGGTCTCTTCTAACATACCATCTCACCTCCTTAAACAACTCAACATTCTCCTGCATATGGTTGAATAAAGTGAACCAGCAATCTTGATATCTACTCATTTTTCTCCATTTTCCTTTGGATTAAAAAGTAAGAGATAGAGTAAAATAAGTTATATAAAAATAAGTTAATTTTTATAACTATTTATTTTCTGGGTCCCTCTTCCGAAACCTAGTCTTGTCATTCTAGTAGAAGACTAAGGAGGCTACTGTTTTTCTTAACTTAGGAGCTAATCTTAGCCACTCTGAAATGTACTGACATTCTAGCAATAGTCAAGAAAAAAGCAGGACCCTGGGCTGCCACCCTACCACAGACTGCAGTCTGATTCCGTCTGCTCCACGGCGGTGCATTAGTGATGTACCTTACCCAGGGGTGCCCCTCTCCATTTTATAGTATCAGTTTAAGAAATTAAAATCACCTGTGTGAAAAGCATAATAAGCCTTCAAGAAGAGTTATAACGGCACAGTAAATGGTGCTTTCAACTATTTCTTCCTTTTAGTGATGTTGAAAACCAGGAGTCATCATTCTTAGGTACCCGTAGAGATGCCTAGAGTGTGTGTAGTCAGAACTGAAGTTCTAAGTGGATCTTTCTGTATTTTCATTTTGCATGCTATGCTTACCTAAAACCTTGTCAAAAACTTACTGGAGAAAATAGATAAACTAAATTAACATGAATCAGGCACAGAATATTTAAGGTTGCTTAAGTCTACTAAGGTGGATGCGAGACTGGTTGGAAAAAAATATCACCTAGAGACATGGAGTCTGCATAGGCAGGTCTGGGATGCAGCTCAGTGTCCACTACCTTGAACTCTCCCTGGATTAATCTGAGCCCACACAGGTTTAAGAACTGACACAGTTTTCCTAATTGACTGAATAACAAGCTTCTTTTTTTAAATAAATGACCCTATGTGCTATTCCCACAAATGTGATATTCCCACAAATGTGATATAATTAAAACCCAACTTAAATAATTTTTGCTGAAGGGATAAGGTGTAATTTTATTAGTAAAAAATGTTTATCAGGTGAGCAGTTGGTGTGGCAGTTAAGGCATTGAATCCCACATGGCAGACTCAGTAGTTCTGGTCCTGGACTCGGCAGCTTGAAAAACACATCATGAAAGGAAAATGATGGAGAAAGGATTGTGCACCTCTGTCTCTCTCAGGCAGAATTTTTTTTTCTAGCTGCTATTAATTTCAGGACACACACTAAACACAAACTAAATTAATTATATCGAATACTTATCTTCATGATGTGGTCCAGCAGCAGCACCATCTGGTACTTTGTTAAAAAGGCAAAAATTCAGGGCCAGCCTGTGGCACCATGGTTAAAGTGGCTAGATCACACATAACTGACTGCTTTGTTGAGTTTGGGACCCAGAAGCTTGGGAAATATGCCAGGTGTGTGTGTGTGTCAAATCCTGAAATGAGGGAGAAATGGAGAAGTGTTACAACATGACTAATCCCCATGGGGGTACCTCCCTCTCTCTCTCTCTCTCTCTCTCTCTATCTCT